AGTCATACTTCACCAAAACGGTCCAAACCCAGGGTCATGTGTCATGGATGACTTGCACCGTTGAGTTATTGACTACAACTTTGTTGCCAAACTATATGCAGTAACGAAAGAGACTCGCAGTACGGTCGAGGTGGAACTCTAATCTAGCCGGATCCGGCCTCTTAACATCACTAGAAAATATCAAATATGCGGGACACTTATTTTTTAAATTAAAAATCAACACAGTTGGATGTGATCTATATATATAAACCAACTATGTACTAAAAGTAAGTTCCAAAAGGCAACGATGCATCTTACGTAATAAAAATCAACATATCAAAATTTTCATAAAATTGAATAAGTCTGTATAAGTTGATACGTGATTAAAAATACAATGAAATCATTGAATATTTCATTCCTTTATACCGTTCAGTAGTATAATATTACATGCTTCTATGATACGAATTTTTTATTTTTTTAATCTAGAATTATAGAATTTGCATTTGAATATGCCAATAATATAGTCTAACTCAAATCGTATCCTGATTGAAATTTGCAAATATAAAGGATCTGGGGTCCTCCAACGTGCATGCACACAACTTCTCATCACAATCATATATCATGAGTGCATTAAGCGGATGGTTGTGATTCCTTCCGAGTGAAAAATGAGAAAAAAATTATAAAACATGGGATGTATGATAATATTTGAAGGAAATCACAACCATTTAAACATTAACATGCATTTGTGATAGGAGTTAAACTAAATTTGAGATATTACAAAATCTAATATGCATTTTATGTTGGAATGGTCAGGTGGATTCTCAAGCAAGCCGGCCAAAGCTTTAAAGTTGGGACTAGAGGAGAATCTTCTGCTTGACAATCAGAAGCATGGGAGTAATGGTGATGAAGGCACGAAAGTAGGTGGAGTTTAATGCTTTGTGGGTTGCTGGAGAATTAAAGTTCCTCTTTTGTTTATTGTCAAAATTCTTTTTGGACTAGATGCTTTTTGTTTAGTTTAGTTATGCTTAGATTTCTTCTTGACCTAATAACTTACAGGTATTTATGTATGAGGTTGGCTTTTGTCCCTACTTGTATATATCTATGTGTGTGCTGAATGATGATCAGAATCCTCTCTTCACTCTCATAGATGCATGTATGGAGAAAGCCTCATATCTCTGAGACTTGGAAGTTATTACTTCATTTTGTTTTCAATCTGGATATATACTATCTTGTATACCATGCTCTGTAAATATTTTTATCATGAATAAAGTGAACGAGGATATCTCCCTTGTTTCTCTCTTAAAAGAAGAGAAAAAAACCCCAAATTAGAGAGGAAGCAAATCCAAATATGAAACTTTATCACTCGAAAAGCATTATATTTAGGAAAACAGCTGAAACATCAAATATTCAATAACTAACTGAAAGTAAAAAGGGGGAAAACAATATAAAACAAACTAGTAAGCAGTTCAAAGTAAAGTACGTAAAAGGATTTAAGTTAATTATGAGTAGAATTTTAATACATCAATAATTATGCATGAACTTACGCTTTCATAAGTCATAGACGGTAGAAGTTACTAACTAAATATAGGAACTAAAGGGGCAGGTTTAATTCTTTCAGACAGAGAGAATAAGCAAACACTGCTTTATCCGTCAAACCGTTTAACGAGAATAAGGTTTATTTACCTGGTCTTCAAAGAAGGTCAAACATAAGAATTACGATCAGTCCTTGATCAAAATTAACAAAGTCGTTACCATAATATTGTTAAGCTTTATAAACCTGCCTAAGAAATTGATCAGATCTACAACAAATATAAATAAGATTAATATGTCCTTAGAATAACTAATAAATCAATCATTTTGATGAAACATGAATATTATTGTAAAATAAAAAACTATCATTTTATTTATAATAATAGTTGATTACATAAAAGAAATTAATTTTAGAGATATATGACGTGAAAGTAAGTATTTATTAGCGACAAGATCTAGAGCAATGAAAAACAAATTCCTCATTGTAAGGTTAAGCAATAGACATGTAGAATCAATACAGAAAGATCGAAATTCATAAATCCCTAGGCTTAAGAAATAGTACTATCAAAGATGAAAATGTAAATGTATGACCACATGAGTAAGTGCATGAGTGATAAGTTCAAAAATTATTAAATTGTAGCAGAAATTTACTTTTTTATCAAATGCAAATCATTTTAAAATAAACAATAGTTCTTTTCATTAGTTTACAACAAGTATATTACTCTACACACCTACTTTTTTCTCTAAACAATAACATTAGATAGACTATAGCAAAAAAGGGTAAAACCTTAGCAATGAAAAATGGAGAAGCTTTTCCTTCAGAATGTGTATAAGGGTTCAGGATATTGTTTTTCCTGCAATTTGTTAAGGAAGTGAATTTCAATTAATCTCAATGGTTTAGCCTGTCCAAATTAGACAAAATGCAATTTCTCTTGATCACCAACAATCAATCAGGTTAAACTCTTCAAAACAGTGATTGTTTTCAGTGGTAACATAATCACTACTAGCTATTGAACTAACTAGGGATATTGATGAGAAGGCATCACCATGCATACGTTTTATGTAGCTCAAAGTGCCAAAGAAGAAATTAACAAAACCAGAGAGAGAGAGAGAGAGAGAGAGAGAGAGAGAGAGAGAGGAGGTCAGATATCCAACTGAGTTACCACCAGCAAGTGGTTAATCATATTGTTCAATTCTTGATGTGCATGAAAATTACAAAATATTCAAGAATTAAACCAACTACAAAAATGTGACGATGAAATCCATAGATCGAGTAGCAAAAATTGTACGTCAAAACCTTCCCCAATTTTAGTTATGTACGTGTACACAAATAATACCAGCCAATGTATCATGCAAGAACTCCACCAATTCCATTGTCCTCTACACAATCAGTTACACCAACAAATATAGATACATAGATCTAGATATATAAAATAGCCATTATTCCAAACCCATTGTGTTGTTGCACTCCCTTTTCACATTAATACTCTTACCTTAAAAATTTCGTGCCTATCCATTTGTAGTAACCTCATTAAATTCACTGCCAACATTCCACCAAGAACAACAAGGGCATTTACGCTACCATAGGAATATAACCGAAAACCAAAAAAAAAAAACCCAGAAAAATTCGCCTAGCTCATTGAAATAACAATGGAAAAACAAACAGAACAAGATGCAAGCTTTCAGAGATCCACAGTAGGAGTTCATCAAAGGGATAAGATCGAAGGCAAACAGGAATTAATCAAGACAGAAGTTAAAAAAACATACAAGACAATGGGAGCCCATTCCCATTCACAATTACTACCAACTGCCATCCTAGCCAGTGCAATCAGAGAGAGAAATGGGCCCATAAATGATGCTCCCCCAAGTAAAGCTGCTGCAACATTCCCCCAACCCATACAAACCCTAATCCTATAATTTTACCATGATTTCAGTGAAGAATGACGAGAGCCATATAATAATAAAAACTCAGAAGATCAATTCACTAGCTAGCCAGCTAGTAATAATTATACATAGTAGTGAGAATATCAGTACATTGTTGCTTGGTTATAACAAGCATCTTAGCTCATAAATGGGGACCGTCTTGATTCTCCATTAATGATGTTAATTTAGCAGCAGAAGAAATAGAAATCCTCGATCGATATCAAGAAATAAGTAACTTAATACGGGGAATTAACATTAATTCGACATACCCAAAAATAAGGAGTTAATTCGTCATAAGGGGTTCTAGCTCGCATCCTCTACTTTCCGAATCTGCGATGGGATTAGGTCCTGAAGAAGCCCGTGATCTCGGATGGAAACACCAGCGGCCGTCATCGTCGTAGTAGTAGCAGGAGCAGTGCAGTATCTCCGATCGATTTGCGGCATGTGGCGGAAATCAACAAGTGGTTGAGGAGGCTGAGACGGCGGGGGCAAGTAGGAGTCGAAGAAGGGCAGGTGCAGGTCTCTGAGCTGCTGCACCTGCGGAACACCGAAATGGTACCCCGCGGTAGGCGGGGCACGATGCATCATGTTGCTGCCACGTGGCACGACGGGGCTATGGTGGGTGTGCTGTCCCTCGTAGGTGGTGACGACGATGGTCGGATCCTTTGAGGATCTCTCCACCCGTTTCTTTACTCCGCACATGGCGGTGGTGCACCGGTAGTAGCTCCTGAAAATGACGATCGTGCCCTTCACTGTTAGCTGGGAATTACGTAAAAGCGAGGGGGTGATGACGGGATACCGTATCTGTATTCGCAGTGGCAGGGAGTGTAAATAGTTACCTAGGGAAGGGGCTATTCTTGACGGCCTTCTGGCCGTACTTGCGCCATCGGTAACCGTCTTCGAGGTGATCCACCTCGCTCTTCGTCAAGAACGCGATCCTCGGTTCCCTTTTACGTTTTTGCCCCTTCTTCTTCCCTCCTTTAGGTGTTCTGCTGAAGCTTTTTCCAATAAGTCCTCTTTAAATAAAATAATCCAAAAAGTTATATTATACAGTAAATCAGAATGAAAAAGTGACTCGTGAGCTTACTCTAATTTCTTCTCCTTATCCAAATCAGCATCCACATCGCTAGCCGGTGCAGCGCAGCCGGATCTTGCTCGTTCGGAGCTTCCGTGGACGACGAAGAGACCGATGATTCATTGGGAGTGGCCGGTAAGTTGACCACCTCGGAGGATTCCGGCGGTAAGCTCACCGGTGTAGGAGGTGGGAGGTAATCAAAGAGGGAGTGAGAAGTTAAATCTTGGATCCCGAGCATCTCCAAGAATCCCAGCGACGAGCTCCTCTCTCCGGCGCCTCCATTGATCGCGAACTGATCGAACAATCCGCCGGCCGAGAACGGGAACGAAGTCGAGATCTGGTCACCGACCGGTGAGATCTCCGTCAGCTCGCTGCTTTCTTTCTTCATTAACAATGGAAGCAGATCATATAGGGCTCCGGTTTAAGTGGGTGGAGTTTGAAACCGGAGAGATGGAAAACAGGAGAAAGATGATAACAATAGGGGGTGAATAAAATTTAGATTTTTGTTTTATGTCTAGCTTTTGAAGGTTTTGAAGACAACCGGGTGACTGGGGATAGCCGGTGGAATTAGGAAAAAGAAGGTACCGATGTCGAAGCAATAAATGCGGGCGATTGTCTCGCTCGATAGACGGGGGCTTTCATACTAAGGAGAAGCGAGGGCGAGTTTTGACCGGGAAACGCAGTGTGAACTGTTTGTTATCCCACGTGTCAGCTATGGGGTTCAGAGCGAAGGGACGCTCAAAATGGCCTCGTGAACTGGGGGTGGAGTGGAGGGAGGGAGTCTGAGTTCGCACGTGTACGTCAGTTGGTTCGGGCCGTACAACAGTAGTTAGCTGCTTCTAGTTCTGATCATGGGTGTGAAAAGGGAGCCGTAGGCCTGTGGAGGAGGCACGTGTGGTCCAGCGCGAGGGGACGGTGGGGCTGTGGGAGCGAGTTGGGGACGCGGATCTGATGCTGACACGTTTCCCGCGTCATCCTCTCTCTCTCTTCTTCCCGACACGCAAACACCGTCACAGGTCCTTCTCCGTAAAAACACACCCTGTAAATCCTAAAGTCCAGGCGGGAAGAGAAAAGGCAAAAAAAATGAGAGAAAATATCCAGCGCATGGTTAAAAATATTTATTCGAATTTTGGTTTAAGTTTTTTTTTTCCAAATATAAAATCGTCCAAATGAAATATATGTTTTAAAAAAACTCCAAAATGTACGTAGTTATTTGTTAACTCCAAAATTAACCCATCCTCCTCCCCCTCCCCACCGTGTTGGCCCCTCCGCGGCAACCACGACCCCAACCATATCGTCTCTCTGGCGCGTCATCTCTCTCGCATCGCACTGTTGTTTTGCTATCCTCATTCTACTTCTCACTTTCAGCTGAAATATAGATACACGCAGCACCGCCGTCTGCATTTGTCGTCTGCGTATTCGCAAGTAGCTAGCAGCATGCCTTTCTGTTATTTTTCTTTTTAACTCTTTATCCTTGTGAAATTTTGCCTGCCACTACCCTAGGTAAAATAGTCAAAAAGGAAAAAAAAAAAAAAAAAAATATAATATAATATATATATATATATATATATATATATCCAGAGGGTTTGACAGCTAACCTAAAGAGTAGTAAAAAATTTCAAAACAACGGTACTACAAGCGGTCTACGCGCAATACCCAAACTCTTTCTATCCATCAACAGCTGTTAAAAATTTTAATTGCGGTCTGTAAGAGGATGGATTTGATTAACTACGAGACGGAAGGTGAAACAACAACACAATAAGTTTCCTATTTTCATTTTTCGCCGATTCTTTTGCATCAAGGGGTTTTTTGCGTATGTACCGTTCAGATCTTCCATATTTACAAAGTTATCCTCAAAATTTTGGTATCTGCAAAATATGCAAATTAACTCCAGTTATCTCGCATTGATGTTTTTCTTCCCCCATTAACTTAACAATTTTAATTAGTTTTCAAATGTGAAATTGTCGCAAACTTACTGGATTTTTTTTTGGAAGTTTTAACATTGCCTTGTTTAAAAGCAAACATATTATTACGTTGTAGTGGAAGAAAAACCGGATATGCTAGTTTTGAGGGTAAGAAACTTCGCAAATATCAAGATTTGAAGGGCAGTTTCGTTAATATGAAAGAATCGAGGGGTACCTATGGAAAAACCATACCCTAGCTGTATTTGATTACTAACTATAGTTCAATGAAACCAGAATTCCAAATATAGCATATTCTAATAATTAGGTATAATACATTCTCTCCCTCTCTCTCAAAAAAAAAAAGAAAAGGTATACATATATACTTGAGAAAACATCTTTCCGTTGTCATGTTAGAAAGCATATATATACGGTTCAACAAATATTTAATTCGGGTCAACATCAAGGTTTCGATGAGAAAATGAGAATACATACGAAGAAGAAGCTGACGTGTATAGTTCAACCTTCCACCCGTTGAGCAAGCAAGCAAGAACAAGTACCGACTGCTCACCATCGATCTCTCAAGCTGACAATAGGAGGCAGTCGGTGGCTGATTGCAGTCAGATCACTGGATCTCGCTGCATCTCGGCCTCAGTATACCACACAAGACATTTAGGTTGGAGCCCCTCTCTCGTTTAGTAGAGGGGAAAAAAAAGGGAACTGCTGTGAATGGGGTGGAGAAGTTGGGACCACGGATTTGCTGCTAGATGGGGAGACATCTTGTGGTATCGATTCCGACTTAATTAATTGCAATTAAGAAATGTGTCTATTATTATTCCAGGCATGCATATTTGAAAAACAATGACGTAATAGTGGGGTAAAATTTGATTTCATTTGACAGTAGTTTACCCAAGCATTTTAGACAAATAAATTTCAACCGTCAATTCTCATTGCAACTTTCGATCTGATGATATTGGATGATTTTAAGATGGAACTAGAAGCTACGACACGTGCAATGTGCAAGAAAATTAAAATTAACAGTGATACAAATAGTAAAATTCGTAAAAAATCTAAAATATGTTGGGGAAAAAAATTTATAGGGTTTGCAAAAAAAATTTTAATGAGAATACGTATGAACACTACAAGAAATCAGGTCTTTAATGACCAAAATTAGCGAATGGACTATTTGACCGTCATTAATGTGTGTAAAATAGAGATGGTTTTAAAAACCTTCATCCAGTGATCACAAATATTAGAGTAATGATGTCAGATGGGATAACGGTTTTCTAGTCCCCTCATTGATTTGGTTCTAATAACGTTGTTATTGGGTCTCCTGAAAAGCAAAGGAGTCTATTACCTTCATTAATCATAACAAGATTACTAATCAAAATAATATAAAGAACCTGAAACCCAAACCTCCCTCTAACCGTAACTAATAAACCCTAGATAACAAAATCGCGTTATTATTCATCGTCTCTGCTATTCGTCGTTGTTCTTCTGCCTAATCCTAGTCGTGCCAGCGTTGGCCCAGAGCCAATGCCCTCAGCGCCGCCCTAACGCCATCTCATCACCGCCCTAGAACCATCGTTACCCAAGCGTCGCCCTAGCGACGAGCCAGCATTGCCCTAGCACCACCCCAGTGCCATCGTAGCCCCAACACCGCCACAATGTCGTCGTTGCCATAGTGCCGCCCCATCGTCGTCTCCTCTTCCTCTTTCTTGATAGCTCGACGGTAACATAGTCGCCCCATTGTCGCCTCCTCTTCCGTTTTTTTGGTGTAATTGCACTTAAGTACCCTATAGTTTCTTCTACTTTACACTTATGCTCAGTCACTTGTTTTTAGCAGCATTGTATACCATAAAGTTTTAAAAAACTTGCACTTATATACCTTCACCTGTTGCATCAGCACTTGTATAAGTTTTTAAAATTTACAGTTAAATACCCTCAAATTTGCATAGGGGAAGGCATTTCAGTGTTAGTTTTAATAACTTTAGGGTATTTAAGTGCTACCTTAATTAGAAAGGGTATACATGTGCAAGTTTTAAAAAGTTTAAGGTAGCTACTAGAAATAAGTGAGGGTATATAAGTACATCATAGTTGAAACAATAAGGTATTAAACTACAGTTAACTTTTTTGTTTCTAATGACGAGCATTTTCTCGTCGTGCTCTTCCCATTGGAACACACTCATGTATTAAACTTATAATTTAGAGTAAAGGAACTAAAATAAATAACAATAACATAAGTTTTGAAGGAATTAAACTAGTAATAACAAATTTATACTATTTAGGTGTAATTTTTAAAAACTTTAGGGTATTTAAGTGTAAGTTTTAAAAAAATTCGGGCATATAAGTGCTTTCCAAATACAAGCGAGGGTATATAAGTCTAAATTTACTTTAGGGTAAATAAGTGCTGTCAAAAATAAGTGAGGTTATATAAGTGTAAAGAAAGGAAAATTATATGGTATTTAAGTGCAATAGCTTTAATGTTTTGCCTCCTTGAAATATCATCTCTCTTACTTCTTGTCCGCGTTGGTGCTATTTTTTTCCTTCCTTTATTTGAAGCTTGTCCACCTTCTATTTGATGTTCCTACAAAAATATATATAAATAAATAAATAATATGACTTCAAAACCAATATAGCATAAGTGGTATTTACTTAATTTACATGCATTTTGAAATGATTATTTCTTTAGCTATTCAGACGTACTTGTTAAGCTTGGACATACCACTTTCCATTAACAAGTCATTTTATTAGTTATAATCCTAGGTCCTACGTCACATGTCTTTTAAAGAAAATGAGTTCTTTTACTAATTTGTTATATTTACTAATTTGTTATATGGTAATATTTAATCATGTGAAATAAAGTTTGCTATTGTAGAGTGCATGTATTCTCATACCAAATTATTTAAGAACTTGTGATAAAGACATGTGAATTAATATTATTTTAATTGATTTGTGCATTACACTAATGACAACATTGTGAGAGTGTTTTTATATAAGTTCCACGTTGACCAATGATTGCATAAATAAATAGTTTATGAATAACATCATATATAGGTTAACATCTTTTCCTTTAGATACTGAATGACCCTATATCTGAACATATGAGTCTCAAAATAAAATTAAGCATTTTTTTGTGTTTAATTTTTGATGAGGTTTTAAAATTTTTCAGAATATTTTAGTACATTGCTTGAAATGACGCCGAATAAAGATTGGATGGTCCTAGTAGATGATGATAGACTTGATCCAAAATATGAACAAGGGGTTGAGAAGTTTTTAGACTATGCATATGAGAAGCTGTGGGTAGGGGTGTCCAAAAAAGCCCACTGACCCGGGCCCAATATGTATAATATATGTATATATAAATATATATATAATATGTATAATATATGTATATATAATATATTTTTATATATGTATAATATGTCATATGTGTGTATATATATACTCTCTCTTAGTATATAAGTATATAAGTATACTCTCTCCTATATAAGTATATATATGTATAAGTATATATAAGTATACTTTCTCTTATATAAGTATATATAAGAATACTCTCTTATATATGTATAATGTATGTATGTATGTATATATATACTCTCTCTGTTAGTATATATGTATATATAAGTATACTCTCTCTTATATATGTATTCTCTCTCTTATATAAGTATACACTCTCTTATATATGTATAAT